CCATCAGCATTGACAAAATCACCATCAGTCCATTGCAAAAGGCAGCTTTACTTGGAACAGCTTACGTCCTGTGACGATATATTGTTTGAACACCATCAAACAACATCTGCCTATCCCAGGTCCTTGGGAAGGACTCAATAGGTGGATGAGAATGCCAAATCCAGTCTAAACATCTGGCTGACTGTGTGACCGACCATAATAATAACAGATTGTTCCTAGATCATACCACTTCATGCTTGAGGAAGTTAATTTTCTTGAGGAAGTTAATTTTTCAAATATACATTCTTCATAGGAAGAAGATGTTGATGATAAATACCATGTCCACAGAAATGAGAAGGCCATGTTTCTGTGTGAGAGTATCAAGGTTAGGGGAGCACCTTTCCAAGCACCATAACTCGATCTCTGGTGATTCTACCACTCTTGCCCCACAGGAAGTGTAGACAACTTGGCTGCTTTTTACCAGGGTTATCTGTCAGTCACTCACCAACCCAAGCTGGTAGGTAAATGACAACAACTGCAAAGAACAACAGCTGCTACCACCTTTCTGTTTACTTGCTTCCCTTCCTCTGGGCAGGAGTGGTGGCTGCTCCTAGATGCCATCTCCAAGTTCACTACTTGGAAACAGAGTCGGGACTTGCCATAACCTGTGCCCACTCTATCTCAGTGCTGAATAGGAAGGCGTTGCTTTGCACCAAGGATGGGGGTCCCTGATAATATACAAGAATGACAAAAGAGATATGATGGAGGTTAATCTTTCCCTTCCTTAGCAGTAGGAACTCTTCCAGTGAGATGTAAGCCCCTTGAAGCTATAGAGCAATTTAATTGTATGCCGCCAATATATTTGCAGCCTGAAATGATACAATTCACAGACAATTTTATAATGAGATGAATCCTACATATAGTAGTTGTTTTCTTGCTATCTTCAGGGAGGCCTTCCAAACCAGCTAGTCTGCTAACCAACCCTGGGGCACCATGTATGGTGCATCAATACTCATCTCCAAGTGAGTCTTATTATTCACTTCATATCAGTGGGCTGTGCATCTTGAAACACACCCAGGTCCTTTGCAACTGTGGTTTTCAAAGGAAACTCTTGACAAGCTATCTACAATCTTCTGCATGTCATTTCTACCATGCTGCTGTGCAGTTCAACATTATTTCTTATGGAAGGACAACACATTTTCTAATGGGTCAAGGAGGAAAATACTGTTCAGGGAAATTATCCAACAGGGTTAGGGCCCAACTGACCAGCTTTATAGCTCATTGTCGTGCCCCATTTCCTCCTGGGTTGTCATCCAGCCCCCTGAGTGTGATATTTTCCTGAGTAATTTTCCAGAGAAAGGGGTTCTGACAGCCAAGCTATGGAGCCTCGCTTTTACCTAAAGTAGCAATAACTTTTTTTCTCCTTCTGAGAAAAAAACATACTTACAACAGACTTCTGAGAGTTTTTTCTTCCATTCCCCAAAATATATTTACTAATCAGGAAGAACTCTTCAACTTTCAATACCGAAAATGTCTTGGATCAAATTATAGGTCTATTTTATAGAGGGATTCCCCCCTGCCATACACATGACACAATTCAGTTTTAATAGAGCGGCTTGAAACTTAAGAAAATGCAGGTTTCTTTTGGAAACTATAATTTTTGTGACACCCTGATTGGTTTCTTTCAACAGGATTGGTTACTGTTGAACAAGAAGTTTCTTCTCTCATAAACTGTAACAATAAGGCCAATTAAATCATCTAAATCTTTCCAGATTTTATAGAACAGCTCCTGACAGTTTGAAATGAATGATTACAATATAATTCTAAGAAATTTAATTGTGTCATAAGGTTGCAGTTTACCAGACGGTTAAAGTAATATCACCTTATTCTGCAAATTATAATGAGAATTAAATGGAGGTTTAGCTCTCACTAATTAACCTGTGTCCTTGTCTTATAATTACGTTAGCTTTAAGTGGGTTAATATATTTGTGTTGACTGATTTGAGATGAAATTTGAAGCCAGTACAAATCATACAAGGGAGAAAAGATACTAATGCTTACTCACAAAGACGTGCAAAGATAATTACTCCAAAATACAGGCATCGCTCACAGACTCAAAAAGATTTTAAATGTAATATATATTTCAATATTAAAAACCATTCATGGCTTGAATTATTATCTACTCATGAAAGAAGAGGTAGTGTTCTGAACAATGACAATCAGTCTTATTCTTACATTTTAAAGCAGAATAATTTGCTGGTGGACCACAGTGTTTTCAGTGTTTCTTACAGTAAAATGCTGATGCAGTGTGAGTAAGACAAGTTATAGGGTCATTTAACTCCTTACAGATGCTAAGCCTGATTCCTTTCTGTCATCTTCACCTCTCTTCAGATACCCCTGTTTTTATGCTTGAATTGCCCCCAAGTTACCTTTTTGATTTCTCAGCTGAAGAGGTATATAGTAGTATGAATAGAAACATTCAGGCCCTTTCCGTTTTTTTTTCCCCAGCTTTTCTTGCAGATGTTTCAGGATTTTATATCTTTCAACTTCTTCCCATTTTTTTTTTTTATTTGTACTTGCAAAAGCCCATTTTAAGCAACTATATAACCAGTCATCAAAGGAACATGAGCAGTATCAGAAAAGTGGGAAACTTTCCAGGAACATTGGAGGATAGAAATGAGGAGATAACTAGGCAACTAAGACTAATATTTCTTCAAAAGAGTTGGGAGTAGGAGTTAACAGGGAAATGTCTGGATATTTTGGCTGAGACCAAGCTCACTCCATACACTGCAGTTTTTCCCAAGTATGAGAGAAAGAAGGACTTCTCCCCCTTAAAGAAGGAAATTGAAAAAAAAAAGAGTTAAGTTGTGGAATCATTTGTGACAACCTTGTAATTATCTTCATGTCATATTTTTACTAAATTAGAATCATGTATGTTTGCTATTATATGGCAACCTGGTATAACTGTTCAGTACGTGCTCTCTTCCTGATTCATTGGGTTCCAGGATTTAAAAAGACCTGAAAAGGACCTACCACTCAGATCTTAGCTGTATGATAGGCTCCTCCATTAAATGGTAGCGTTAGTAGACTATTTGATAAAATAGTGCCAATAATCAGTATTTGTAGAGATCAAAAGGTCCTTTCTCCATGTCTCAGTTCCCCCTCAAAGAAAAACATTCCAATGATGGCCATCGCTGGGGGATGCTGTAATAATGGAATCTTGTAGTGGGCAGGAAGGTGGTCTAGATGATTTTCAGGGCTGCTTTCCTTACATTGTATGGTTCTATATAATGTCCCCAACCTCCCTTTTTGGGTGAAGAGATGTGCAGTATGCTGATGTCAGTCTCACATTCTTAAAATAGGTTGACACAAAGAATAAAGGGACAAAAAGGGAGAGCAATTGATGTCTTTTACACCATATACTTGAGTTCTATGATTAGAAATTTATTTATGAACGTGCTTCTTCAAATTATTTCAGTGCAACTTATATCCAGGAATGCTTGGGATTATGTAATTGAGTTCCAATCTTATTTAGCAACGCATCTCTTTAAATTAGTTGGGATGTACTTTCTGTTCTAACTTTAATGGAAACGACTAACATTTCTCATTTTGGCCAAGCTGAGTTGTTAGATATCCAAGGATGATATATAGTCATAAGAAACTGACACATTACCTTCATATTTTATCCATGAGTAGCGGTGATAGGAATGAGGGAGGAAGGTTTTAGTACAAAATACCTGCTATTTAAAAAATATTAGCCCCATCTCTGTTTGAATTGGGTCCAAGGAACATACCATTGCTAAGCCTTCCCTGCAAATCTGAGCATTTGTGATTCAAGAAGAGCTTGTTTGACAAAGAAATGGAAACTTCGACTGGAATCCTATGGAAAATCAGATAGCAGACTAGGCAGATTTTGTTGAATCTAAAGGAATTATTCTTATACTCCCAACATTCCAACCTAGCTCTGAACATTGCATAAAAGTCTTGGAATAATTCTGGTAAGAGCTGATAGACAGTGTGATCCCTTAGAAGATGATTTAGCAACCAGATTGACTAGAAATACCTCCTTTGGACAGTATAGCCACTTCAACCTCCCCCCTTGCCCCATGCTGCCTAAAGCTTCAGCAGTGATGCTCCATCTGAATGTATTGATTTTGGCCAGAATGTTCAAGGAATGACTTCCCATGCCTCCTGTTCAGGCATTCAGGAAATAGGACTCTCTTCAAGCTATTATTCCATTGATTATATTAATCAGAGGCAGAATGTGAAAAAGCTGGAGGAACAGGTGACCAAATGCACTGTTAAGAAGTGAGAATTATGGCTATGATAGGGGTGCAAAGTTTAGCTGCTTAGGGAGAAAAGGGAAAATGGTTCCAATAGTCTTGTCTGCATTATGTTCTCAGCACACAGTTCCTTTCAGATGTAAATAAAGTCTCACCTGAGATGAGCTCAGCTCCTGGGGATTACATGGACACCCTAATGTGTTGGTGTCAATGAAAAAATAATAATTTGACAGTTCCTGATAATTAATGATCATGCTTTGTTAACTAGGTGAATTGTTACTCCCAACCAGAAAGATATTTATGTGTGTTGACTTGTAATGCCAACTGATTCACTAATTTATTTTAGTTATTTATTTATTTATACAATTTCTATAGCCGCCCATCTCAATCCAAGTACTCTGGGTGGCAAACAATTTCAATAATTAAAACCATTAAAATAATTACAAATTATACATATAGGCAGCTGACAATGTTGGGATCTTGGTGTTTGCTGAGCTTGGTTTTCTTCCTGTAAACATTTCATTACCAAACTAGGTTACTAAGATCCCAGTATTTCCATCCTGAGCTATTCTTCACTGTTGAACTCATTACTGTTCATTTTGCAGGCCTGGCTCGGAGAACAGACGTCACAATGGCAGAGAGCGAATGTCTAGCACCGGTGAAAAGGGAAACCTGTCTATGGAATCCACCAAGGAGACCCGCTATTGTGCTGTTTGCAATGATTATGCCTCTGGCTACCATTATGGGGTTTGGTCCTGTGAGGGCTGTAAAGCCTTCTTTAAAAGGAGCATTCAAGGTAATAACATTGACACACCCAGCATGTGACTATCTTGCTCATTCTAATCAAGTAATGAAAGTGCTGCTTGTCTGCAAACAGATGGAAACTGTAGATCCGTATATAGCTGATAAGCCTAAATTCTAAGAACAAAGAAGTAAACCAACCAAAGAAATGGTTAATACCATGCTTAAAAAATACATATTTACTACCTGTTTGACATATACAGTGTGAATAGTGTGAATAGATTGAGGTGGGCAAGAATATGAGTTAGAACTTAAACAAGGCTACTCGAGCCTGTTATCTGTATTTAAGTATTTTGGAAATAACTATAAGAAATCTAATTCCAGATCCCCATTTTGCTTGTTTCTTCAATTACTTGCCTATCTTATCTTTGTATAATGCTGCTATTACAGTACACATAACAGCAGTAGACAAAGTAAAATATATGACTCCCTAAAGCAGCTTTCCATAAGATGATGCCCCTAAGATGTGGGACACCTACAAACCCCAACTCAGCACTGGGAAATGCTTCCAAGAAGTCTCCAGACTGCTGAGATGAGGCACCTGCTTATGAATTAACCCAGTGAGCTAATCGATTGGAAGGTTCTTAGTTATAATGGTACTGAGACTGATGTTTGGAAATATTAGATTATTATGGTGGGATATTACTAGCTTGATGGTGGGCTGCCATTTGTTTTTTCTCTTTCTTGGCCTACTAAGCATGCTGGGCAGACTTTCTGTATGGATGGAAACTGAAAGCCTTAAAGTCTGTAAGGCAGAAACAAAAAACATACAGTACAAAGAAGGGGAAGTAAGCACATGAAAGAATAAACCATGCATTTCTTTTCCTCTTGGCACCTCTTACTAGCCCAGCTATCCTTTCTTGGTTTAGAGATGAACAAATTGTTGCCAACTCTACACTCAGTCCTGCCTTTCTGTGATTAATCATTTCAGCTTCCTATTTATGTTCTATTGCTCCATACTTCCTCCTTTTGCCCTTCTCAGGAAAAGCTTTCCTACGGTTGAGTCCATTACTCTCCATTGTCTTCTCCAACTGATGCTTCTCCTGTAATGAACTATAATCTGGTTACTGAGATGCTCCTTTTTAAAGTACATCTCTTGCACCCTAGGATTTTTCCCACAATAATTTCACTGCTGCTTTAAGATTCTCTGTTTCACCCAATAGCTTTCCTCAATTGCCACTAAGGGGTGCCATGTGTATTCTTAATATATTTTCATGTCAGTACATGTTGCTCTTTATTGATTATACATGTCAACATGTAGAGGGGTGATCTCAAGATAGGAGAATGTGGAGTAAGTGAAAATTCTGCCTTTCAGTGTCAGTATTGTTTCTTTCTTCCTAAACATTAGCATCTATTTTAAGAGGGTGTCTCAATGTGCTTTTTTTGTTTCAGCTCTATTTAAGATCAGAAGCTGACTCAGGATCCACTGAAAGTACTTTAAATTCAGCTGTTAATCAACTGAAACCAATATGGCACTGTGATGGACTGGAATTATGAAGGCCAAGCTCAGGGAGATAAGCATTTTCTTAGCTCACCG